TTCTAGTAATTTTTAATTATAAAAAATTAAAAATTATTATAAATTATCATATTACATTCCTTATTTTTATACATTTTTATTTATAAAAAACTTTTTTAAAAAACCTATTTCTAAATGAGGCTAAGGTGCCAAGTTGGGGATACTTAAAAAAAGTCAAAAGTCAAGAAGTTACTTAAAAAGTTAAAAAAGTTAACACTATTTACCAAAAGTCAACATATTACGGCACTGCACCAACTCCCAATCCTAATTTTCTTCTACAACAATCATTTTACAATTTTTATTATATATTTTTTCAATAAAAAAGTCCAAAAAATTAACCCAAACATTCATATTTTTTTTTTCTCAACTTTTTAGTTCAAAAAGATAAAAAGTACACTTATTTAGGACACCTCAAACACCCTAAGTTATCACATTTTTTTTATACTTTTTTGTACATTTATTTATAAAAAAAAAAAATATATATAGAATTTCTAAATATTTTACAAATATTTCTATTAAATATCATGCGTGAAATATTTTAATAAAATATTTAAAATCCTTTGATATTATTTTAAAATTAAAAAATTATTAAAATAATTTATATTTCCAACCAACGTAAGGAAAGGAAAATAAAATAAAAATATTTCCAGTTTACCTGAATAGGACTGAGCTTCCTGAGATAGAACAAATCAGCGGCCTCAGGCACACCCCCAATCTGCATCCCCATCTTAGCACAAACCTTGGAATCCCTAATACACGAACTGATCTTCCCCCCAATAGCTCTGACTCGCCACGCGCTCCTCCAACCAACCCGAGTAATCCTCCAGGTGTACTCCAGGTAGGCCCGGTTCGGGACGGGCCGTCCGGTTCCTTTATCGGTACGGCGTAGGCGAAGATAATGAATCGATTAGTGCGGCGATTATGAAGAACATGGCCCACAAGTAGAGGTACATGAGGAAACTGTTGCGGTAACAGGCCCGGCGAAGCCCGCTAGCGAGACGACCATGATGGAGACGCCGATGATGATGATGGGCCACTGGAGGAACTTCAGGCAGTCCGTGTTGTTGGCTCGGGTGCTGAGGCCATATGCCGCCGCCCAGGATGGGACTGAGAGGAGGAAGGTTAGGAAGTTTAGTAGGCCGATCAAGTGGTTGCTGGTTCTCATCTCTTTCTTTCTTTTCTCTGTCAAAGTGGTTTTTTTTTTTTTTGTTCTCTCTCCTGGTTTTGGGAGGAAGGAAGGGGATGGGGGAGCAGAGCTGGGAAGTTTTGAAGGAGTGGGCCTTCAATGTTAGATGCAGGTGATATATATATATATATATAATATTTTAAATGGAGGTGAAAAGTTATTGAAAAATTATTCGATGCTCGGTTTGTTTAGTAACAGATTATTTTAAGTAATTTTTTAATAAAATATAAGATAAAAAAAATTATATATTTAAAATAATTTTTTTATTTTTTATGAAAGATTTGCAAAATAATAAAAGAAGAGAAATTGACTTTTTGATATAGGTTTTTTAAATTTTTTTAGCTTTTAGACTAAAACTGTTACATGTCAAACGAGAGGCGTGTTTTGAAAAAATGATTAAAAGTTAATTTTTTTAACTTTTTTATATAAGAGATGATGCGATTCAAAATAAATTAAAATTTTAATTTTAATTTTTTATTCAGTTCTCAAATGGCCCTAAATGTTATGCAATGGTATCTCCAATTGATCATAATATATTATAATTTTTTATTAATTATTTAATAAAAATTATAAATTTATTTGTTTCACTAATTACAGTCTTGTGATAAATTATGAGTGTGTTTAGTTTGTATTTTGAGATAAATTTTAAAAAAAAATTAAGAGAGACTTTATAAATTTTTTTGATTTGTTTGGTTATATATTTTAAAATATTTTAGAGTTTGAAAGTTTTGAATTATTTAATATTTTGTTATAATTAAATAAAAATACATTGAAAAAAAAGTAATTGAGAAATAAAAATAATAATTCTTTAATATTTATAGAAAGAAATAATTTTTAAAAACTCTCTTTTAAAATTATATTTCAAAACACAATAGATGCCAGGTGATACAGATGGCAAAGCTTGTGTGGGGGCTTGGGTTTGAAAACGAACAAGATGTACTCGCCTGATTGGGGGAGAAGAAATTAACTAAACACGTCTCAGAACCGAGTAACATCCCCCCTTAACTTTTTTCCTTAATTTTTTATTTGCGGCTATTGAGTCTATTTTTAGGTCAATTTTTATAATTCGAACGTTTATATTTTAAAATTTGTTGATTATAGCATATTGTAAAAAATTAAATTAATCAAATATTAGAAAGTATGTGTTCGGATCATCGAATTAAAAATTATTTTTTTTAAAAAATTTAATAAATAATTTTTTAAACACATATTTTTAATATCCGATTAATTTAATTTTTTATAAAAATATAATATACTCAACAAATCTTAAAATGTGAACAATTTAAATTATCGAAATTAGACCTTAAAGTAAGCCAATTACCCAACAAAAAGAGTAAGCCAATTACCCAACAAATAGAAAGCCAGGGAGGGAATCCTGATTCCTCAGCACCGACCATAACTTGTCAGGTTATATAGATGGCAAAGCTTGTGTGGGGGGTTTGGGTTTTAAACGAAAGAGATGTACTCGCCTGATTGGGGAAGGGGAAATTGCGTGTAACTAACATTCAGAGGTTGTTTGGAATGTCTTAAGTAAGTGTATTTTTTATCTTTTTGAATTAAAAAATTGAGAAAAAAATATATAAATATTTAGATAAATTTTTTATCTTTTTATAAAAAAAATGTATATTAAAAAATTATATAAATAAAGTGTATAGTGAAAAAAAGGTGATTGATTGTACGGCTGCCTGCAACTGCCCCAGCATGATTATACAGAAAAATAATCAACTCTTTCGGGGCAAATAACTTTTGGACAGTGATAGTCGGGCTGTGGGGGGCCACTATGGGTCCCATTTTAATAATTTGAACCGTTCAATATGTACAATTCATCGAGTATTATATGTCTGTAAAAATCTCATTGATCGGATATCGATAGCTATATGATCAGATTAGTTTTTTTTAACAGTTAACTATCACACCATCCGTTTTGTTTATACAAAACTATTTTGATCATATAGTTAACGATATCCGATGAACGTGATGTTTTATAGAAATATATTAATCGACAATTTTTACATGTTGAACGGTTCAGATTATCAAAATGGAGTCCTTAGTGAGCCCCCATGGGCCCAACATTTTTGTGACTTTACATATATAATTTTTTTTTGGCCCCAAACAAATTGTGTAATGTCCGTCTCTATCATAAGACCGTCGAGAACAACTGCTCAGTCCATTTGTAGTATTGTAATATATAAAATATTTTTTAAATATTTTTTATTTGTGAATAGTAATGTCTTTTTTGCTTTTTGTGTAACTTTTTAACTTTTTAGATTATTTTTGAGATGTCAAACTTGGCCTAAGAGATTGTTTGAGGTGTCTTAAATAAATGTATTTTTTATTTGAATTAATTGTTGAGAAAAAAAGATAGATGCTTGGGTTAATTTTTTGTCTTTTTACAAAAAAATGTGTAATAAAAAAGTATATAAATAAAGTGTATAGTGGAAGAAAGTTAAGTGGTTGTACGGCTGCCTTGCTGCCCCAGCATGTCTAACACAGAAAATAATTGCCTCATTTGGAGCAAAGTGTTTGGACAGTGATGGTTGGTCCGTGGGGTCCACCATGGGTCTTATTTTAATAATTTGAACCGTTCAATATGTACAACTCATCGAGTATTATATATCTGTAAAAAATCACATTGATCGGATATCGATAACTATATGATCGATTTATTTTTTTCAATAGTTAACTATCATACCATCCATTTTTTTTATTGAAAACTGATTGGATCATATAGTTAACGATATCCAATCAACGTGATTTTTTGTAAGCATATATTATTCGACGAGTTTTACATATTCAACGGTTCGAATTATCAAAACGGAACCTTTAGTGGGCCCCCAAGGGGCCTAACATTACCATCAAACTTTGTGACTTTAATATGTAATTTTTTTTTTTGTCCAAAAAGTGTATAATGACCTTCATGCTTCACAAGTACGGCTAACAGTATCCATTAAATTTTTGTATTATAAAAATATATAAAATATTTTTTTAATATTTTTTATTTGTGAATAGTAATGACTTTTTTACTTTTTTATATAACTTTTTGATTTTTTAGATTATTTTGGACTTGCTAAAACTGGCCTAATTGGAGAGTCCAACTACAGTATATGAAAGGGTTTTCATGTACCATAAAAAATTACAGAATATGAAAGGGTTTTCATGTAGCAGTGAGTGTTTGGAAAGTATATTATTCGACGAGTTTTACATATTCACGGTTCAAATTATCAAAACGGAACCTTTAGTGGGCCCCCAAGGGGCCTAACATTACCATCAAACTTTGTGACTTTAATATGTAATTTTTTTTTTTGGTCCAAAAAGTGTATAAGGACCTTCATGCTTCACAAGTACGGCTAACAGTATCCATTAAAT